CCCCAAAACCCCAAAACCCCAAAACCCCAAGATTAGCATTATCAATTAGAATTTGAATTGAATAAATTAAAAGTTTTGGAGCTTTAATTATAATATAATTTGAATCTAAATATGGACAGGTAGGCTTGCTATATTTACCCTCATATTCATACTTAAACTATCTATAGAAGCAAAAGATAGAGCAAGGATAGTTTCTTAGATTAAGATGGCCTCAACGAGATAAGGGGCTAGGGTTTAGTCTAAAGGTCCTAAAGATAGCCAAGTCAAGGAGACAATGGAATCAATTTGCCTGAAATTCAAAATGTCACAAAAATGAAATAGCCGTCATCTACAAACAGAAAGAAAGAACTGGAAGTAAGAATAGATTTTAATAAATTTCTAGTTAAGAGACAGCGTTTAAAGTACAGGGATGGTTTAGCTCAAGAAAAATGACCTTCAGGTTTAAAATCAGTTACTAGGAAATACAAATCAACGAGCATATGCCTCAGGTTAACTCTAGCAATCAAACATTCTACCAAGCATTAATATTAATCAATCCGTAAATGATTTATTATTAAAATCTATAGCCAAGGAAAGATCCAGGATATGATTATGTTAGTCTTGGTTCTAGAATTCAAGAGCAAGTGAAAGGTTACAATAGCAATAATCCGAAGAGACAGCTTAAAAATATCTCATAAAATCCTGGTTCAAGAGGTTCAAATAGAGGTTCAAGTCTCATCACACCACAAAATGCTTTAAACCAAACTGCATCGCATGGCATGTAGATTTTACTCCAAGGAAGTCAAAATGTTCAGCCTTCAGCCTAAACCACTACCTTCGGTAATTCTTATTCATAACAAAAATAGAAAACTATTTGAAGAAGGTAATTAAATCTGTGGAAAGAAGAAAGAAGAAGTCATCTTAATACATGCTTTAAGACTTCAATAACAATACTTAAAGGCTTCCAAGCATGATGGAGATAGAAGCTAATCCAGATCAAACAAAGAATAACTCATATGGAATTTTAGCTGTTAATAAGACCACAACCTTTTAGAATTTCTCTAATTCCATAGTTAGTTAGAATAGGACAAATGAGTTACATAGTCAGGTAGCAATGATTGAAATGTAAAAAAGCTAAAAGCAAAGACTTTAGTAAATAAAGGACAACTAATTAGCGATTGTTGAGGAATCTAGAGATGATTCTTAATTTGCTATAATGGGTAAACTAGAGAAATAGTTAGATTAGATGAGTGAAAAATCTAGTAAAAAATCAACTAAAGGAGCTCATCCTTATTAAGTAGCTTGTATTTCTTAATTAAATTATTAATTAATATTAGTGATTGATGACGGTCGTAAAAATGAACCAAAAGCTACTGACTAGGTGGCATATCTTCTCAAAGAAGCTTAAAGAAGTAAGTATTGGATTTGAAAACAAATATAGAGGAAAAAATTTTCATTCCGTTGGAGAAATCAACTGATGTAAGTTCTGGATATATGTACAAAGAAATGAAAAATCCCCCAGAAAATCATGCAGGAATAGTAGTCTTTAGTAAATAAGGATTTGTAACTGTTGGAAAAGAAAAAAATGCTACTTCTGATTTCATCTCAAATGAAGAGTTCATTCAAAATGGAGTTAATAAATTTATCCTCTCAGATATCCCTTTCTTCAAAAAGTTTTAGGCTATGAGAATATTTAAACAATGGAAGTATATCATGAGATGGAATGTCTTCCAAAGGAAAAGAGTTAAGTTAGCTGAGAGCTTTTTCTTTGCCAAACCAATATTCTCTGAGAAATATCAATCGCTCATTACTAATGTAAACACAGTTAGGACTTTGCCTTTCATGGAGATTAAGAAGAATCTTATATATGGCAAGAAATAGCAAAGTATGTTGGATGAGCGATGCAAACAAAAACTTGAAGAAAGCAAAGATTAACTAGATAAGCTTCTAAGTAGCATTAAGAATTAACTTAACACACTCAAGAAAGAAATTTAAGACGATGATTATAATTTTGAGATGGGAGTCAAGGAGATCAAAGTCCAAGCAATGATCAAGCAAAAGACTAACGGTGAGGAGCTTGTGATGTTTAGCAAAGCTAGAAAACAAAAGGAAAACTAGGAAGAGCAATACAGGATTTAGAAAATAAGGCACAATATGTACGATAAATTTGTGGAAATGATCCTTAAATTTGTTTGTGGAAATCTAGTAGAACTACTCTATGAAAACAAGAAACAATTCAAAGAAATCTTCAGAGATGCTAAGAATGGGCCGTAATTTGAGGCTGCAGTTTGTTTCAATTAAAAGGGAAAGCTTGATACAGATCCATCAATGGAAGACCATTTTGTTAGTTTCCTTTTAATTTTTGAGAACATGGAAAAGGCTGTGTATTAAAATCAAAATTTAATAGAATTCATCTCAGATATTGTGGGTTATCTATTTAAAGAAAAAAAGATATATTATAAATCGTAGTGTAAGTATATAGTTACTTTTTATAAATTTAGTCTAACAAATGGAGGTAATATTGAAGCAAAATTCACTGCATCAATCTAACGGAGAATCAATATTTGAAACATTGAAGAAAGATATAGATAGATGCAGAGAGTATCTAGAGCAATTTATTCCTCTCTAGGAGATTTATGACTTCGCCCAGGATTGGGAAGCAAACAAGAAGGATTAGTAATTATCCTCAGAGATGGGATTTTACAAGGAAACTTGGCTAATGATGGATAGATATAATAGCATGATTGAAAAAATTCCCCCTGGAAATACAAAGCTTGGAACAATTTTAGTGGAAACTCTTAGTTTAAAAAAATATCTTTCTGAACTTCCAAAGAAAGTAATTGATTCAATTAGACATAATGTTACCTTAACAATGGAAACTGAGACAAAATCGTTGAGAGAAGAGCTTTCTAAGACTTCTGAAATCCTAGATTAACTTCCAACAAGTTTAAATGTATATGTCGAGCAAGTTAATACATTGAAATATGTCAAAGAAAAACAGGAAGATTTTTCACAAAAATTTTAAACAATTAACAAGCTTCATTAGTTGTGCAAATAAGATAATATCAAAGTAAGCTTAACATTATAATTAGCTATTGATGAAGTCTCTCACTTATACGAGTAATCTTAATTTCATTAAATTAAAACTAATTTAGGAGTTTACCTAAATTACAAAAGACTGCTGCAGAAGGTTTAAGTCAGAATAAAGATACAATGGAAAAAATAATGCAAAGTTCGTCTTTAGTTCTCTCTAAGAAAATCAAAGCTTTTGAAAAGAAATATGTTGAAACTTATCTTCAAGATAAAACTAGGCTAGAAGATTGTGCAGATACCTTAGAGGAATTATTCAAAAGATCAAGTAACTATTATTAGATAATAATGATTATTTATAGAGGCTATTCACGAAATTAGATCAAAAGTTATTCTATACAAAGAATTTCTTAAGCTTTTGTATGAAGATGATCCAGATGCAGAAGAAAAATTAAAGAGAAACAAACTTCAATGTGCAGATGACTATGAATTTGTTTAGTCAATTCATAAAGAAACGATTAAACTTTGGAAGATGCTTCTATACTGGAGAAAGAGAAGATAAATGTGTTACAATTCACCTTTCTTACAACTTGATACAAATAAAATAATTAGATCTATCAACAAAATCAACAGATATTTTGAAGAAAAACTATCCAAAAATGAGTTTTTAAAAGAAAAAAGCAGACCTCTTTGCAAAGTTGTAATTCTTCAAGTTAAAGAAACCTCTTTGATAATTGAATTTCTTAAGGATCTCAGAAAAGAATCGCTTTAGCAAAGACATTGGCTACAGATTTTCAATTTGATAAAAGCTCCTCACTTGAAAAATTCTAGCAATTTTACAATCGTAAATCTTAGAGAATATCACATTCAAAATTACAGAGAGGAAATTGGGGTTATTATTGAGCATGCCAACACTGAGTTAAAGTATGAAAAAATATTTAAATCAATTAAAGATGAATGGGAGCAACTTGAACTCAAAATTATTCCTTACAAAGAGACAATGGATTCTTACATTCTTATTAATACAGATACTTTAAGCAATGCAATAGAGGAAAATTTAACTACACTAGAAACAATCAGCTAATCAAAATATGCTGAACATGTAAAGGCAGATATTGAAGATTGGGTAAAAACCCTAAAGGTTATGCTTAAAAATCTAGAAATATGGGTCAATGCCTAAAAGCATTGGATTAATTTAGATCCAATTTTTTAATCTGCTCAGCTTGAAGATATCCTAGGGTAAGATTCATTAGAATTTTAAGAGCTAAGGAATTAATTTAAAAGAATAATGTGGAGCTCATTTAAGAATCCAAAAGCAACATACAATTTGATGATCACTAATAGAATAGAAGTTTTTGAAAATTTGATTAGACATTTTAGCATATTATAAAAGAAAGTCCATGACTATCTTGAGTAAAGAAGACTAGCATTTCCTCGATTTTTCTTTTTATCTGATTCTTAATTCTTAGAATTCCTGACTTTAGCAAATTCAAATTAAGACTTTAATGATTATATAAACATACTCTTCTAAGGAGCCTAGTGCTTATATATAAATCGAGTACTCGGACTAAAGAAGAATGAAGTAATTGATGATGAGCTTGTATTATAAATCGGTAATACTTTAAAAATTGAAGATGGAATTAATGATTTGAGAGTAAAAGATACAATATCTGAAAGAAATACAATAGAAGACAGTCCCAGTAAAAAGTCTCCTTATGCCCCTTATATTAAAAATGCTACTCGATAATAAATGACTGAATAAAAAACATTCGAGGAAGATACTATTAGCCAAGGAAATTCAGTAAATGATGACAGATATAGTTAGCATTCAGAGATTAATCCTAATAAAAATAGGGAGAGTGTTATAAGTATGGATTAAGGTACAAAACTTGGAGAGCTATAGAAAGATATTAACAGCTTCCAAGTTCTAGGAATGATCAGCAAGAATAAAGAGCTATTTTTATTTGAAAAATCAGTTGTTATGAAAGATGGAGTTGAGCAATGGCTTCTCAGAGTAGAAGAAGCAATGTAAGAAACTGTAGCTAAGCAAATAAACTACGCTGTAAGTAGTTTCCCTAAGTAATCACTTGATGAATGGATCTTAGATTATCCTTAACAAGTAATTCTTACAACAATTCATTTAATATTGTCTCATGAAATTAACGAACTCCTGGAGGAACTTAGTGAATAACATAGGAAGTAAGCTGAGGGTGATCTCTCTGAAAAGAATGATGACAGTGATGAAGATGATGACTCAGTAAATGCGTCTCCTTCTCATGTTAATTCAAATAAAAACAGTAAAAGAGCTAATCTATCATCTGCAGGTCATAGAACTTTTTCCAAAAAATCTTCTAAAAGAAATGTATCCAACAATGAAGATGATGAGGATTAAGCGATGAGAGAATACCTAAGGAAAAAGAATGAATTGAAAGCTGCATAGAAGGCCGAAGAGGAAGAAGAAAAAAGGAAAGTGCAAGAGGAAATGAGAGAAAAATAGGAAGCTAATGAATTGCCTAGAGACCCTGAGAAAGAAAAGAGAAAGTTTGTTGATGAAATGTTTGGAAAGGACTTCCCTGCTGATTCAAAATTGCTCGTAGATAAATCTGTTTTCGAAAAAGCTGAAGAATAAAAAATGATAGCAGCTGCGAAGGGACAAATATGGAAGCCTCCTGAATTTAAAGAAATAGTAATGAATCTATTGCAAAAGAAGTCCTTCTAAGGTCTTTTTTTGAGGCTTTAATTCTGGATTAATCAAATAATAAAGAGTCTATATCCTCACAATTCTTAAAAGAGCGAGGATGCCAGCTAAGAAATAAAAATTCATAGTGTTTAAAGAATGACTATGAAAACTATAATATCCTTCCTCCTATTTTAGAGAGATGTTGTAGATAACTTAATAAAAAAGAATGTAATTGAGTAAAATGACTTTGAATGGCAATCTTAGATTAGATTATTGTGGACAGGAATTGAGCCAGGTTGTAGGATAGATTGTGGAGGATGGTCAACTTATTAGTAAAATGAGTATTTAGGATCCACGCCTAGGCTAACTTTAACTCCTCTAACAAATAGATACTTCATTTTCTTATCAGCTGCTCTCAGAGAAAAATCTGCTGTCATGTTCAAATGCGCTCCAAGTTAATCTGAGGCTGGAGATGTCTTTGAAGAATTCGCTAATATTTGCAGTGTTCCATTCAGAAAATTCTAATGTAATCCTATTGTTCAAATGAAAATGCTTATGTAATAGCTCAATGGAGCAGCTTTGGCATCTGTGTGGGTATTTTTTGAGCATATTGATAAGCTACCATTTATTCATTTCTAGGCATTTAATAAGGAAATTTAAATGGTTCAATAGCAATTCATCATTGCAGAACTTTCAGCTTAGGATGGAGGAAATACATCAAATAGTAAGATCTAATCTCAATAGAAACAAAGAAATGGAGAGATGGTCATCAATGAAAATAATTTACATAGTGGATATAATATCGGATTATCAAGTGCGACAAACAATAAAATTGTTTCTTAACTGTCTTCTGCTCCATAGACCTCATAGATCACATCTCAAATTCCAGATAAGTCATCAAAGATTACAAGGACTAATCTACCATAAGCTTAGTAGCAATTCACAAAAGCTGCTAAGATATGCTTTGGAGTGTTTGGAAGTATTTCTCATGATTTTCTTATAAATCATTCTGATCTTGCATAGCAAGTCCTCACTCATTCTTAATCTGCATTCAGAATACTAGCATTGACAAGACCCAATGAAACGTAAGTCTTTAAAATTTTAATGAAACAATATGGATTTGATAACTATGATGAGCTTGCATTAATGACTTTTAACTTTATTGAGAGATTTTATAAAGCAAAAGATTAGCTTATTAAAGAACTTAAAGTAGAGGATAAATTAAAAATACATGAGCAATTGAATACCAAAGATATGAGAGTAATAATAAAACTTGCCTACCAATTGATGGATCAGGATTATTAATTCTACTTAAATAAAAAGAAATCTGAGTAAATTGTTTAAATACAGAGAGAAATATTAAGTTTCTAAAAAACAAAAGAACAGAAATAAAAGGAAAGCGAAGATTACGATTATCGTAAGAAATTAGATAAAGATGAGAAAATAATAATTGAAAGTAATGCACTTAAGTAATCATTGGGATTATACTTTGTCTAAAGATTTTTAAATTAGTGGAGAGCCATTTATACTCTTGCGGAAAATAAAGAGCCTTTAGAGTTCTCATAAATCGAACTCAGACTAGAGGATGTAATTCAAAGTGAGATTAAAGCATGCTTCATAATAAAGTTAGAAATTATCAAAGAAGATATTGATACTATTGGAGATGATTCACAGTAAGTGCTAACAGATGAGCAAAAGATGCTGATCCATAAGGCTAATTAAAGAAGGGAAATAATATCCAACCATGATGTTCTACATCGATACAACAAAAGTAGTGGTCTACACACTCTAATTCATGATAATAACTAGTTGGAAAAGGATAAAAAGCTCATTGATGCTTTAAATTTTTCTTTGAGAGAAGTTGTTGATAAGCTGTTTTATGATAATGTAACTCCTCAGATTAAAAATTGCGTATAATTCATAGAATATATGCGAAGAACTAGAGGTATAGCATTAATTGGCCCAACTTGTTCTGGTAAAACTAGCATCCTTAAAATAATTTCAAGTTGATTTCCTTTGGAGTTAAAATGAGAACTTCAGTAGTTAATAGCGCAACCTACAGCCACGATGAGTTATATGGGACTGTAGAAGCTTTTAACAAATCTAACAAAGGAGATGGAAATAATAGCTTTAACAAACTTGGAATCTTCCAGATTATCTTAGATGTGTTTGAAAAGGAAAGAGCATAGATTCCTGAAAAAGAAAGGCCTAAACATATTCAGTCTATATTCTTAGATTCTGTAAATATAGATTCGCATATGAGTGAAAGTATGTTAGAATTTATTACTAAATCTAATAAGAGGGAAAACATAAACTAGATTGACACAAGACATATACTTGATCTTACAAAACTGGATAACTAAGTCGACTAAAATAATGATGAAACCATACCAATCACGATGCCTAATGGAAATGTAGTAATGTTCCCATAAAATCTGTATATCTTCTTCGAGGCTACTTCTCTAAAAGATTCATCCCCTGCTTTTATTTCAAAGATAGGATTGGTAGTTACTGAGGATTCTGATTTGGATTGGGAAAACTTGTGTTATAGACAAAAGAACTTACTTTTCAAAAAACATGGGAAATTTTTTGACGAGCAAAGATTAAACTACGAAATGCATATAGATGATTGCATGAGAGAATTTTTTGAACCATTTATAACAGCAATTATCAACCACTCCAAAATTAAAATTTCCTTGCATTTCAATGTAAAATCTAGCATTCTATAATTCTTCAATATTTTGAATGCTGTATACTTCAGACTAAAGGAAATTTGCTTAGAAAAAATATAGAATGATGATTAAAATATGTATATGCTAAATGAATGTGAAAGAGATGTATTTTGGTCATCAATTCTAGTCAGTACAATATGGTCATTTGGTGCTCCTCTTAATAAGGAATAAAGAAAGGTTTTTGAAGAGCAATTTTTCAACTACAGAAGAAAGTTTAATGTAAATATTGCAGGAGCAGGAAGACAGAGGTTTACTCTATTTGACATATATTTTGATTGTGATAATCTAGCTTGGGATCTATTATAAGAGAAACTAGAATACAAGTTAAAGTTGCATTATGACGCCTAAAATAACTAGCTACTAATTCCTACAGTTGAGGTTTCTTAGTCTTACTTTTTAATGGATATGATCCTAGGGGGTCTTAAATATGATGATTCCCTTGATAAGCACTTTAGAATTTTAGGGCCAAGTGGAACTAGCAAGAGCATCGCAATAAATACATTTATTAAGAAATATAGTGACTAGTATAAGGGAATAATTTTACCAATGAGTTGCTATTTAACACTAGACAAACTAAAGGATGAATTTGAAACAAACTACACAGCTAAAAGAAGAAATTAACTCGAACCAACAGACAAGAATAAAAGAGTCATTTTTATAATTGATGATCTTCATCTTCAGTCAAACCTGAAGATTAATGTGTTGGAATTCATTAGAACATGGTGTGTAAGCAAAGGTTACTATGATTTGAAGAGAGGATTTTTCAAAAATGTTGGGGACTTTGGTACTGTGATGGCTGAAAATTCAGATTATAGAGTTAATTATTGCAAATCATAAGGAAGAAGTACTACACAGTCGAGATTTTTGTTTTATAGTAATACTCTATACGTTGATGAATATGATTTTGACCGATACAAAATATTTGTTCAGCATTGGCTCACTTCCAAAATGTGGAATACTTCAAAACTAATTAACAAATATTACATTTTGATGACCAATAGCATAATGGCTTTAATGGATAAACTTAAAAGATAGGAATACTTCCATAACGCCTAATTTCTTAGGTTAACCAATTTCCATATCTTCGCTAGATTCTGTGCTAATTTAGCCAATTATACAATCATCAGTGATGATCCAAAAGAAATTATGATTAAAGGCTTAAAGGAAGAGGACTCAGCTGCAAATATGATGATTTATGAAATGATTAGAGCTTATGGAGATAGGATCCTCATACCTAACCATAGAACAGCATTCATTTAAAGAGTTATTGACGCTTGCAAGCAAGAATTCGTAAGTGGATAGCATCTTAATCCTTAATACGCTGATTCGATGTTACTTGGAAACTATCATTAAAGAAGATATGGTTCTCATATAAAGTATTTGTATATGAATCATGAAATGAAAGAAGTAAGAGACGAAATTAGAGAGAAAATAAGAAAGTGCTCAAATAATCATTTCTTAGAGACATTCCTCGATGCACCCAATGGTCCCAAAGAAATTTTCAGACTCAGTAGAATATTCTTTAAGGAATAGCAGCATCTAATACTATTGGGACATTCGGGCTGTGGGAAACATGAATACTTATAATTGGCAGCAATTTTAAACGATGGTTTAATATTTGAGTTGAATACTTCTAAGTTTGGAGAGCCAATCAAATTTGCTTAGGTTTTCAAACAAGCAGTGCTATCTGCAGTTCAGCTCAATGCATTTTCATTCATAATAATTAATGATCAGCAATTACGAGATCCAGCTTACATTGACTTCGCATATAATTTCATCAATAACATTAATAAAAATGAGACTTGTATCATAATGGACAAAGACTTTAAGTAATCACTAATAGATATTGAGAAGGAACTTGTCAATCAAAATACTGCAAGAAGAAATGCTGACTCTAATACTGACATTTTATTCCTTTAAGCAATGAGAAAGATTCAAAAGAATGTCCACATAGTATTTATGATTAATGATTTTGGCTCTTATTATGAATGGGTTTCACTATTTCCAGGCCTTGAAAGCAAATGTGAAGTTATTTACATGGACGAGCTAAGTTCTGAAGGATATAGACAATTAACTAGTGAGTTTTTCTCACAAAGAGATATTGACAATACTCTTTTAACTAGCCATAATTTAGTGAAGGCTCTTGTTGAAACTAGATAAATAACGAAACATAAAATTTTGAGTTTATTTTATTCAACTTAAATGTTGCAATTTACATGTAATGAAGACTATATGTCTACTCAGTGTGGAGAATATGTTTTCAATAGTGATTAAAAACTTCATGGCTTTTTATATGGCAATGGGGATTTTGTGATTAATGATCAAACTCATAAGCAGTTAAATTACAATTTACCTGTAGAAATCAGCTCATTATATAAGTCAAGATATGTCATGTTCTTAGAGCTATTTAGATTCCTATATGATTTTCTATCAATGAATTTGGTAATCAGACGTAATTATTTTGAAACATTTTTAAGAAAAGCTAGTGAATTCCAAGATTTTTTTAAGGATATTAAATCAACTAAATCGGTGCTTCATAATGAATCTAATTAAATAACTTTTAAACTCGCTTAATTAAAAGATAAAATACAAAAAATAGCTTAAATTATTGTTGAAAAAGAAAGCAACATCAACAGAAGAATGAAAGATATTAGTGATCTCGAAATCGAACTTAAGAATAACAAAGATGAATTGAACTCTGTGATTTTTGAAAAGGATTAAATGATGGATGAGATTTTAGATCATTTAGAAAAGATTAATGGAAGTGAGTTTAATTATGTTATAAGCCTACAGTAATTTAAGCCAAATGAGAAAGCACTTCTTGACATTTTTGGAATCGTAGTAGAAAAAGATCATAGAGTCAATGGCTATATTAAAAATGAATTTGATATGTACTTTCTGAATAGAGAAGAGTTAATCAATCTTTTAAATGATAGAAGAAACTTTGAATTTGATCAGAATTGCTTTAATAGGCTTAAAGACTTTATAAACTAATTTGCTGTGAATGACTATAAAGATAAACCTCTTTTCAAGCAACTGTTTAATTTCTTTATGGAACTTTACAGAAAACTTAATGTTAGAAACACTATGTCAAACACCTTCACAAGAATTAAAGAAATCAAAGAAGGAATTGATTCTCATTATTTTTCAATCAATTACTCAAGACAGTTTATAGAAGACAAAAAAGAAGAAATGGAGGGACTCAAAACAAAATATGAGAGAATTAAAGATCAAGAGTCAAGCTTATCAAAGAGAATTGAAGAAGCGGAAATTTCTCATATGAGAACTGAACATATATTCCAGTAGGTCGAAAAATATACTAATAAGATTTATGGAAAACTGACAGACGTAAAGAGAAGAATTGAGTTCCTTCTAGGAGATTGTATAATCATGGCATCATCAGTCGTTTATCTTGGAGTATTCTCATTTAAAGAAAGACTCTAAGTCAGAAAAGAACTTTTTGAATACATTTCAGGAGTAAGCTCAATTAAATGTAGTCCATGCTGGAACGAAATCAATCCGACATTAAATAGCTAAAGTAAACTGTTCAAACAAGTTATTAAAGAATATGGACTAAGAAAAATTATTCAAACGCACAATTTCTCTGGTATCATCTCGCAGCCCATCATTGTTGAATCATTGTTCAGCATGATATTTGCTCCTTCTTGCACATTATTGGTAGATCCTACTGGATAATTATAAGAGTTTATGCAAAATAAATTGCTCACAAATCTTAAGATAAAGAAACTTTATGGATCAGATCTAGGAGTGAATTCTAAACTAGAATAAGTATTAAGATCTTCTTCGTTTGCTCTGCTTAATGATGTTAACGACTAATCCAAAGACACATACGGTCTTTGCTAGGATGAATCGCTACTTAATAGGCTTTCTACCACGACACATAATGGATTTGACTTTGATTATGAAAGAATTTCTAAACTGAAGCAGCTTCACTGCTTAAATGCCTATCATAATTCTTATCAGAGTGTCAACAAAAGAATATCCACTCACACTCCTGAGTATGAGAATTTGTCATTCTATCAAGTTTAAATATTCTCACCTAGGTTTGAATTCACTTTAAACAAGGAATATCTCAGCAAAGTAAGCATGTTTGTGGCGATGAATAATGACACTGAGATAATAAGAGGAGATGTAGTAGGGGCTCCTTGGGTAGAAATTAAAGAGCTCATGTTGAAACATTTCTTGCCTGAGGACCATAAAAGGCTTCTATAAATAAGAGCAAAGCTTAAAGAGCTAGAAACTAAGAAATCAGAGCTTAATAAAAACTTTGAAAACGCATTTTTAGTTGCAAATTAAGAAACGTTACAAAATATTAATGAGTATACTCAACTGAAGTAAAGCGTTGAAGACATAAAATTCTCACAAGAAGAGAGAAGACTGTTCTAGAAATCTCTCCAAGACCTGCTTAATGAGAACAATCTACTTAACTCTTACTCAAATGTTCTTACGATAATCTATATGAGTTTAAAGAAACTTTCTAAGGTATCTAATGAGATTACATATTCCTGGAAAATGTTCTTAAATGTTGTTGACTAAATACTTTTTAAGATAGTCAGAGACTTGAACACAGATCAATTACAGTCAAAATCTAAGAAAAAGAATGACCAGTCGATGGAATCTATTTCTATTTCTCTTCATGGTCATGGAGAAGTAGGAATGAGATCTAAAAACCTTATTAATCCGTAACCAATTCACAATAAATCTCAATCTATCAAAGATTAAAGAGAATTTACTATTGACGAAGAATTCTTTTCTACTGTTATTATCCCTTCAATTTATGGTACTATAATATCTGGAATCAAGCAGTATCTAGTTCCAATCTTTAATCTTATACTATCGGTGCTTGTTTCATTTAAAAAGAAGGAAATTACAGAGCCTGAGTATGAGTTCTTTTTTAAGCAGCTATTCTTACTAAAAGATTTTTACAAATGGAGATAAGCAGAGGCTGAATTCATAGACCTTGATGCTAAGGTTGAGAAAACCAAATTTTATGCTTTCAAAAGAGAAATATTAAAGGTGTATCCAGATTCTGGCAGAAAGGTAATGGAGCACATTGAGAGAGAGTTAGGGTAGAGTTTCAGCTACAGGCAAGCTTCATTGACTATTTATGGTAAAACTTTCTAGCAGCATCCAGATTTCAAGAATTTAAACCTCATGCAAAAGATAAACCTTGGATTTCTCTGCCCTGACCATGAATTCAAGTCAAAAATTTGCTAGCTCGTTTACGAGTAACTCTCATCCATCTTTTCATTTACTGAGGAATTTATAAAACTACACCATTTTATTAAGACAGCATCTTGGCAACACCCAATTGCACTGTTCAGTCAAAATCAAATTAACATCATCAATACTGTGTGTTCTATTGCTTCTTATTATGGAGTAGGTCTTGAAGTATTAAGGACAGATCTTCCTAATACAGATATCTAGCAAGAGAAGAAGAATCAAAATTAAGAGCTAAATCAATCGATTCGAGATAACCTTAAAGATTACTCAAGACTAGAGAAGGAGTCTTACATGAGTTACTAATAAAGGATTGGAAGGGAATCTGTGACATATCAAGGAATGAGTAAATCCTCTGGATTGCCATGTGATGCAAAAGTAAATCATGATGCTACCTTGGAAAAAGAGAATTTAGGCATTGAAGAAAAGAGTCTTGGCAGCAATCAATCGAATGATCAGAATCCACTTAAAATGATTGAGAATTGTGCTCTTAGTGGATCTTGGGTGTTCATTTCTACTTTAAAATTCCCATCTTTTTGGCATAAGATGTGCTAAATGATAGAAAACTTGAAACAACAGAACAAAATACTAAACACGTTTAGAGTTTTCATAGACTTACAAGGTTACTAGCAAAATGAAATTCCTGATAGTTTTCTGTTTGACCACTCGATATCATTCTATTTGACGGACTTAAACAATGAGGATATGGAAGGTTATAACGACGTTTGGGCAAATATTCTTAATGACAAAATTCTAACAGAATTAACAAGCATTTTACCTCCAAAAGATGCAGCACAAAAAGCTAAAGAACAGGCTGAAGAACCAGAACCATTTGATATTATTTAGGATAATCTTAATGCATAATAACCCTCAGGCCATTAAGCTAATATGTTTGAAGAAATGAAAGATAAGATTTCGACACAAGATGCATTAATCAAAGACGACAAGCAGAGAGAACTATACAAAGACTTTCTCAGAAATTAGCAAGTGGAATAGGCAAAGAATAGTAATAACAACACCCTTATTTTTGGAAGTGAACCAACAGAGGAGATTAAATAAGAGGCAGCTCCAATTAGCAATGTGAAGAAAGTGGAAAATTTCAATGATCTTTTATCTGATATCAAAAGTATTGGAACCATAAATTCAAAAGAGAAATTGGAGCTTTTCAAGGGAGTTTCATAGTAAGATTTGAATCAATTAGAGTCTCCTGTGGATAAAGAGGAGCAAAAAGAGGATCAGCTGGATAATGGAGCCATTGTAAGCAGAATTAATTCTATCCATAACAGCGTAGATCTTTCTCGAGGTGAAAATGCCCTTATTCAAGAACTAAAAGAGTAATTTGAGGATAGTGGAATTAGGGATCTGAGAAAGCAAGCCTCTCAAAAAACAAATGAAAATTTTATGGCTTAAAGAAGTCAAGAATCATTAATTTAAAAGGTGATGAAGCCTGAAAATAAAGATTTTACTGGTGAAGGTCAATCCCCTGATCAAAGTATTAAACAACCTGGGAAATTTATGATGAATTTGGAAAATATTTCTGATAATGAAGCAAATGAGGCTTTTGATGAATTTTAAAATAATCTATCTAAATCTAAATCTTCAAGCAAGAAACTTAACGATACTTCAGAATTACTATGATGATAATTGATTAATTGATAAAATTGATTTTGATTAATAAAATCGAAATTAATTATAATTTTAATTTCATAAATAATTTTTAATTCCTCTTAAATTCATCTAATACTCACTCATGGGGTTTTGGGGTTTTGGGG